TGAACAGAGATCTCTCAACAGAAGAAGTTCAAATGGCCAAAAGACACCTAAGGTCATGCTCAACTTCCTTAGCGATCAGGGAAATGCAAATCAAGACAACTTTAAGATACCATCTTACACCTGTCAGAATGGCTAAAATCAAAAACACCAATGATAGCCTGTGCTGGAGAGGTTGTGGAGAAAGGGGTACATGGTGGTGCTTTTAAGTCAGGTGACTGCCCGATCATCGCCTGTGCTTCTGGCGGTAACTCCAGTAAACAAACTCGTTGGCTCACCATTAGTCGGAATCTTTTCTTTGGTTGTTAGTGCCCTATCGATCTGGTGATAAGATGGGTACCTGAGGCCACGATGAATGTAGAAGCATGCTTGAAAGCAATCCTAGAGTGGCTGGCTTCCTCTGTGGTAGTGGTTCTCAGCCTCCCCAGTGCTGCGACCCTTTAATACGGCTCCTTCTGTTGTGGTGACCCACAGCCATAAAATTATTTTGTTGCTATTTAATAATTGTAATTTTGCTACCGTTATGAATTGTAATGTAAATATCTGATATGCAGGATATCTGGTATGTGAGCCCTGTGAGAGGGTCGTTTGACACACACACTCCCCCAACAGAGTTGGGACTCACAGGTTGAGTGCAAACCTTTTTGATAGAGTTTACCGTACAAGCAGGCTATAGTGATGGGGATGCCCTGACAATGGAGAATGAACTAGAGACTATATTGCAGTGTCTGAAAAAAAAGCATATTTGAAACTGGATTACAGACCGGCTAAGGCAGCAGCTTTTTGGTCCTTGCAGTTGAAGCGGCACTGTCTGCATACGTGAGGAATTGCAGTGGAAAAAGAACACGTGATGCTGCCCTCCACCTTTGCTTCAGACTCAGGAACGGTGGGGAAAGGAGATGAGATGGAGGTATTGGCTTGCTGCTTCAGCTGGCAGTGGGACATAATGAACAGGGTACAAATTAAATCTGTGCTAGAGAGAGCCCTTTCTAGCATTAAAACCTGGGAACCTGTGGGAAAAATCAGAGAGCAAGGAGAGACTAAGGGAGACGTGAGTAAAGATACTCCTCCAGTTTAATTTTTAGTGCAAAGAAGCGAGGCAGGGGTGACCCATAATTCAGCATGAAAGTGGAGGCCTTAATAATGGCCTAGCGTAAGTATCTGATAATTAGGGAGTACTCTCCTCCAAACTGCTTCAACTGGGAACGACTTAGGTAAGAAATGAAGAAGCCTCTCACAGCCTGGCTCGTGAGGCTGTGGGACATGGAGCAGATGGCATCAATCTGAGTGTGCTGAAGCTTACTTAGATTCTGAGAAATAAAATTGCTCTCCCTCCTTGAGACAAAGACTACATAGCCTGAGGTAATACAAAGGAAGTAGTTCCTGATTGGCTCACACGAGCCGGTGGGCACTCTTGACTGACGCTGGCCCAAGTTTCCCTAACTATCAGGGACTGGAAGATGACAGTACAAGGAATTAGAGAAGAAATTGAGCATCAGAGCATCAGAGAAGTGTAGGATTCCCAGATCTTTGGGTGATTAGGTTCATGGGGTGTTGAGACTGCAGACTGCAGGCCTGGTATGGGACTTCAGTGTCTTTGCTGACCCCATAAGTAAGGCATGATCTTGTAGAGACAGGAGAGGCTATATAGTAGGTATTTTTTTTATTTTAAGTTTTTTATTCATTTTATATATCAACCACAGGTCTCCCTATCTCCCCTCTGCTCGTTCCCTTCCTCCCCCAGCCCTTCCCCCATCCGCTCCTCCAAAAGGGTATGGTCTCCCATGGGGAGTCAACAAAGCCTGGCACATTAATTTGAGGCAGGACCAAGCCCCTCTCCGCTACATGAAGGATGAGCAAGGTATCCCACCTTAGGGAATGGGCTCAAAGGCTACGTTATGTCTTAGTGACAGCCTGGCATATACACTGGGGACATGTAAATCAGAAATGGAAGGTGCTGAAACCCTCAGGAGGGACTGGAAAGGAGGGAAGACAGATGATGTGGCCTATCGCGATCACTGGAAAGCAAGTGTAAGGTCTGTGTCAAGTGAGAATTCGTAGAGGAAAAATTGCTAAGTAGCCAAATTCTTGCTTCTGGGCCTCTGCAAGGCTGTAAGAGCCGAGCCCATGGTTTGCTGAAGGCATTAATGATAGAGTAGTGCATGTGAGAAAGGTTTCTTTGATTGTTTTTAATTGAGCTATACATTTTCCACACCCTCCTTCCACCCTCCCCCATGCGCCCCATGTTCCCAATTTACTCAGTAGATCTTATCTTTTTCTCCTTTCTAGACAGATCTATGTATAGTTCTCTTAGGATCTTCTTTGTTGTCTACGTTCTCTAGTGTTTGGGGTTGCAGACTGTAAGCTGGTTATTTTTTGCTTTATGCCTAAAAGGCATTTATGAGCTGGGCGGTGGTGGCGCACACCTTTAATCCCAGCAGAGGCAGGCGGATCTCTGCAAGTTCGAGGCCAGCCTGGTCTACAAGAGCTAGTTCCAGGACAGGCTCCAAAGCTACAGAAAAACCCTGTCTCGGAAAAAAAAAACAAACAAACAAACATAAAAGGCATTTATGAGTGAGTACATTATATTTGTCTTTCTGGGTCTGTGTTACCTCACTCAGTATGGCTTTTTCTAGTTCCATTTGCCTACAAATTTCAAGATGTCAGTATTTTTTATTGTTCCATTGTGTAAATATACCACATTTTCCTTATCTGTTCTTCAGTTGAGGGGTATCTCGGTTATTTCCAGGTTCTGGCTATTACCGACAATGCTGCTGTGAACATAGTTGAGCACGTGTCCTTGTGGTATGACTGAGCATCCTTTGGGTACATGCCCAAGAATGGTATTACTGGGTCTTGAGTTAGATTGATTCCTAATTATTTGAGAAATAGCCATACTGATTTCCAAAGTGGCTGTACAAGTTTGCATTCCCACCAGCAATGGGGGAGTATTCCCCTTACTCCACATCCTCTCCAGCATAAGTTGTCATCAATGTTTTTGATCTTGGCCATTTTGACAGGTTTAAGAGGGTATATTTCAGAATTGTTTTGATTTGCATTTCTCTGATTAAGGATGTTGAGCATTTCCTTAGGTGTCTTTCATCCATTTGAGATTCATCTGTTAAGAGTTCTTTGTTTGGGTCTGTACCCCATTTTTTATTGGATTGTTTGTTCTTTTGAGGTCTAGTTTTTTGTGTATTTTGGAGATCAGTCCTTTGTCAGATGTAGAGTTGGTCAAGATCTTTTTTTTTTTTCCTCTTTAAGGGTCTCAATCATCTTTATAAAGCTATTTTTAGTTCATTTTCTTCTGCTTCATCTGTGTTGCAATGTTCAGGTCTTGGTGATATAGAACCACTAATATTTTATCATGCTGTGTTACTCTTTATGTTGTTGAATGTATTTTTACCCTGTTGTCTACCCATCTCTTCCTCCAATCGGAATATGTGGAGCCTGTGTTTTGGGGCCTGTCCCTTTTCCCCCAATTAGTATAGTTGAGAGCTATGCCTCCGTTGATCGCTCCTTCAGGTGTAGGCAGAGGAGAGCCTGCAGTGATCATTCCTCTGGGTGCCTATGGGCCCAAGGCTCAGATGGTCATTCTTTCTGGTCTTGTTGAGGCTGAGGCTCTGGTGGTCAGATAACTTCTGGAGGCCACTGCTGTCGTCCTGGCTTTTGCTGCTCACACTTCTCCTCCTGGCAGCCTGGCCCACCCGCAGCACTGCTGCTCATGCTTCTCTTCCCAGTGGTCTGCGTGAAGAAGTTTTAATCTTGTTCACAGTGTGGGTAATTACCTCTTCCAGATCATACACTGTGTCCATATTCCCCTCACAGTAAGTATGCAGGGAGTGGAGTAGCTTGTGCCTTGGGACCCTTTCAGTAGCCATGTGTGACAGATGGAGAGATGCTGCCCGGAGGCCAGGAAGCAGGCTGCAGTGGAGAGCAAATGAGAGTAGGACTCTTCCCCCCTTGGCCCAGGGCTGGCCCTCATGCCACAGAACTTCCTTTCTTCTCTTCTGTCTGCTTTTCTAGCACATGTTACCTTTGGCTGCTGTGGGACAATGTTCTTGTACCCTATAAAGACTTGTCACTGCATTGCTTTAATAAAACGCTGATTGGCCAGTAGGCAGGCAGGAAGTATAGGTGGGGCAATGAGAACAGGAGAATTCTGGGAAGAAGAAAGGCTCAGTCTGCAGTCGTCACCCATACACAGATGAAGCAAGATGAGAATACCTCACCAATAAAATGTACCAAGCCCCGTGGCTAACACAGACAAGAATTATGGGCTAAGATGTATGGGCTGTGTATTACTTTGGGACTGAACTGCTGCAGGACTGGTCAGGACAGAAACCTCTGTCAGCATTTGGCATCAGAGATGCTTTGGTTAGTTTGTTGTTGTTGTTGTTGTTGTTTTAGCTACCATTGGACAAATTGTTGAGCCCTATAAATCCCAGTTTCCTCATCTGCCAAATGTAGTTTATACTATCAAACAGGGCTTTTGTACAGAGGAACTTATTGCCTGGTGTGTAGTACCTGATGAACAAATACTAATGCTGATTCTGACTCTCTCAACTCAGAGTCCAAACACCTATTTCCTTTGCCCCGTGCCTTGTTACCATATCCTCTGTCTTTCTGCATTTATTTCCCTTGTGCCCTCCTGTGTTCATGTCCCGTTGAGAAGCCATCCTCCCTCCATCTCTCCCCTCACTACCAGTTATATTTCCTGTTTACTCTTCAGTGTTGTACACACATTATATATTACTGTGTTGATTCGTGCATAATTTAAAAATATAGTTGTTTTATAGAGAGTTTTGTTTGTAGCTAGTACATGTTTTGATCTTTAATGCACATTGTCTTTCCCAAAAATGGTGTAGTGTCAGTGATGAAAAGGTTAGCTCTGTGAGTTCGAGACCAGCCTGGTCTACAAGAGCTAGTTCCAGGACAGGCTCCAAAGCCACAGAGAAACCCTGTCTTGAAAAAAAAAAAAAAAAAAAAAAAAAAAAAAAAGGAAGAAAAGGTTAGCTGTGACTCAGTGGTCAAGTTAGCGTACTAGCATTTTCCTATATGACTCAAAGTTCAGTAGACTTTCTTTGTGTGTCAAGGGGTATTTTTCCTCTTTAGTCTTAGGTCAGCAAAGCAGGAGTTACCTCCTTTTTGCAGCTAAAAAATTAGATGAGGAGTGATTTGAATTAGGTGGGAAATGAAATGATTTGATGGCAATCTAAAATTAAATAGGAGCAGAGTCATTTATGGGAACTAGGGTACTTGACACCAGAGTGCTTTTCTTTTTTTAAATCTTTATTTTTATGTGTACAGCTATTTTGTCGCATGTGTATTTGTGCACCACATGCATGCCTATTTCCCACAGAGGCTAGAAGAGGGTGTTGGGTCCCCTAAGACTGGATTCACAGAGAATTGTGAGCCGCTGTGTGGTTGCTAGGTCCTCTAGATGGGCAGCCAGTACTCTTAACTATTGAGTCATCTTTCCAACCCTTTTAGTTTTTTTTTTTTATCAATTTATGTTTGTTTACAAAAGGTTGAATTTTATTAAGATCTTTTCCTACATGTATATCATATATATTGCTCTTATTCACCACTACCCACTTTTGAGGGGGTACTTTACCTATTTAATATTCCAAATGCTTCCAGTAAAATACTTCTGTTAGGCTGAGTGGTGGTGCATGCCTTTAATCCCAGAACTTAGGAGGCAGAGGCAGGTCAGTCTCTTAATTTGAGGCCTTTCTGGTCTACAGAATAAATTCTAGAACAGCCAGGACTTCACAGAGAAACCCTGTTTCAAAACACAACAACAACAACAACAACAAAAACAAACCTAAAAACTGCTACCACTACCACCAAAACATTTTTTGTGTAATTAGTAGGTGTTATTACATCTTAGAGATGAAGTAGAGACTCAAGAATACTAAAAGTGATATGACTTAAGTCAAACTGATATTCCTAAGAGTCTGAAACCAGGGCCAGTCATTGCCTTCAAAATTTGAGCTGACGCTAGTGATGGTATCGAGCTACCTCCTATGATGAGCACTGAAACACTGCTGCATGTTCAGAGAGCTTTGGCCACAGTCTTCAGTTTTCTGAGCGTTGGACCCAGTCTTGCTTGTGGTTGTCCCTTTACCACTGACTGATCTGCTTTCCCAGCCCCATTGTGTCTTCTTTCAGACAGTTTGTGTGCCTTTGGAAGGAGTGCTGTGCAGAGGACTTGGGCTACTGAAACTTCCAGTGTACAGAAGATGATGGACAGATTGTACTCTGAGGAGACTTCCAAATTGCTGAGCGTAGTGTGATACCTCATGTCTAGTTCTGTCTTTATATTAATGCTCTGTCCAAGTTCTTCCTAAGTGTCCTCCCAAGTGATGATGAACTTATAAAGAATATTAATTTAAAGATTCCTGACTGACAATTTGAGATAGAAATAGTCACGAACTTAACTGGTCCAAATAGATGGGGTGGAGGAATAGCTGGTTAGAAAAATGAGTTGAATTTAGGTAGAGAAGTGTGTTGAGGAATGTCCCGGGAAGGCTGTGTTGCTGTCTCTTAGACACACATTCTTCTCATTTCGTGCTTGGGAGTCACTGAGTATTTTTGTAGGAGCCCAGCGTGTATCTTCTAGACGTTTTGGGAAGTGGTTTCTCTGCTATGACACAAACAAGACTTTATTGTCCAAGAACACAGTGAAATGGTGTATGTTTTATTTGGGTTTATTACCGTGTTTATGAGATTTTCACAGAGAAGAGGCTGACGCGCTCTGTGATGCTTGCGTCTTCTCAGTGGTGCTCACAAGAAAACTTGATCATTTAAGTTTGTTCAAGAACAATTTCCTGAAGCTGTTACATCTAAAACATGTTTTCTTCTAGATTTACTTTTATTTTATGTAAATGAATATTTTGCTTGCATATATGTCTATGTACTACATGCATGCCTGGTGCCTACAGAAGAGGGTGTCAGATCCCCTGAGACTGGAGATAGAGATGGTTGTGAACCTTTTTTTTTTTTTTTTGAGATAGGCTTTCTCTGTGTAGCCCTGGCTGTCCTAGAACTTGCTTTGTAGACCAGGCTGGCCTCTAATTCATAGAGATCCTCCTGCCTCTGTATCCTGAGTTCTGGCATTAAAGGTGTTTGTCATCAAACCTGGTCCTTTTGGACTTTTGAGACAGGGACTTGCTGAGCATTTCTGTTTCTTCTAAAACTCACCTTGTGGCTCTGGGTAGGCTTTGAACTTGTGGTAATCCCTTGCCTACGTGCCTGGATTATTCCTGACCACCATGCTTAAGTTACAAAAGGTTTCCTTAATCATGGTGGCTTTCCTTTTATTACATATGACACCTGTATGACTGTGGTCATATATGTGAATAGTGACTTTTCTAGAATATACATGACATCTAAAGGTGATTGTTTTTTACTTGTTTGAGAGCATTTACTAATTTTACTCCATTTTCTCCTAAGAATGGGTGAACTCAGTGTGGGAACTGGACTTCACGGAGACTGAGCCTTTGGATCCCAGCATAGTAGCAGAGATCTTAGAGAACGGAATAGATGCATTCACATCACTCTATGGGAGTCTTTTCCCCTTTGCTGCTGAAGAAAACGGATCTCTAGAGGTAAAAAGATAAGAAGTCAATCAAGCGACCCACTTTTATGTGTTGCAGTGGATGAGAGTCATTATAGTTTAAATTAAAAATAGTTTTCTTGGGTCAGAGTATTGTGAAAATTGTACTTTGTTCATCAGACTGTCCTAGTAGCTTTGCTTCAAAAAGTTTGAGGCTCTAGTTGTGATTTCTGTTTTCAAGACATGACCACCTTTTCACAATAGCAGTTTAAAGGTGAAACCAAGTGAATAGGCCACGAGAGTGAAACAACAGTTCCAGGAAGCTTGTACTGAAGCAGTAAGTAGTTGGTGGTTTACACGCGGCCTGAACATTGTTCTGCCTCCTGTGCTGGTGGAGGTCACAGCTGTCAGAGTGCAGCTTAGTCCTGCTTCTTAGATGCCTTCCACATTTTCCTTTGAGTTAGTTAGTAGTCTCTCACTAACTTGCATGTTTGCTGAGTAGTCTAGGCTAGCTGGCCAGTCATCTTCAGGAATCTGCCTGTCGCTGCTATCTGAGAGTCCGAGCTCGGGCATCTCATGCTTTGTGAGCCAAGTGCTATGCCTACTAAGGCATCTCTCCAGCCTCCGTGTGCTTGTTGATGTTGAGATCATTAACTTTTTTTTAAAAGGTCAGCCAAGTATGGTGGTACATACCTTTAGTCCTAGCACTCAGGAAACAGAGGCAGGCAGATCTCTGTGAGTTTGAGGCCATCCTGGTCTATATAGGGAGTTCCAGGGAGTCCTGAGTTATATAGTGAGACCCTGTCTTAAAAAAAAATAAATAAAAATAAAAATAAATAAGCTGTCATAGTGGCACACACCTGTAATCCCTGTACTTGGGAGGATGAGACAGGGGATTGATTGTTGCTGTAAATTTAAGGTTATAGAGAAGATCATGTCTCAAACACCAGAAGGGCCAGTAAGAGGGCTGGATGCTCAGTGTTCAGCAGGTAAAGACGGGTGCTTGCTACGATTCCTAACAACCTGAGTTTGATTCTCAGGACCCATGTGATTGAATGAAAGAACTACCTCCTGTAATTGCCCTCTGACCCTCATATGTGTGCTGTGTGATCTGGTCATAAGTGTTCACATACACACAAACACACACAAACCACATAAATGTAATTTAACAAAGTGTTTTAAGGGAGAAAAAGAGAAACCCAAAAGGCTAAGAAACAGAATTTAAAAAAAGCCTTAATATAGGCCATATGTGATAATGCACCACTCTGATATCAGTTTAGGAGGCAGAGGCAGGTGGATCTCTGTGAGTTGCAGTTCCAGGCCAGATAGGACTGCTCAAGAATAAATCATCTAATTAAACATTCCTTTAGAGTAATGCTAAGCATTCCATTGAGTACTTTAGAAGAGAGGGTTAGGGTGGAGGTATAGTGGGAATATGTAAGGAATGTTTAGAATTATGACTGTGTGCTATGGATGGCATTCGGAATTTTTAATCATGTGGACATAGGACAGTAAGTTAAACTGAGAACAAGTTACAGGTAATTTTTAATGGTATCCTAATTAGATCTCTTTTGGTTTGATAAAGTGCCATGCCCAAAGCAGTTTGTGGGGGAAGGTTATTTCATCTTACACTTTGGAATAACGGTCTATCACTGAGGAAAGTTAGGGCGGGATCCTGGAGCAGAAGCCCTAGAGGAGTGCTGCTTACTGACTTGCTCCATGGTTTGCTCAGCCTACCTTACAGCATCAGGACTAGCAGTCAAGGGATGGCACGGCCCACAGCAAACTGGGCCCCCCAACATCAATCATCAGTCAAGAAAATGCTGCATATACTTGCCTGCAGGCCAGTCTTGTGGGGACAAGTTTTCAGTTCAAGTTCCCTCTTCCCAAGTAACTCTAGCTTATGTCAAGATAATATAAAACTAGCCAGCATAAATGGGCTTCACCTGCGGAATGTGGTAAACTTAGTAAGTCATGATTATGTATGAGGTTCTATTTTAAGAAGCATGCATTTATTTACTTACGGCATGAGTAGATCTGTTTAGAACAAATGTTCTTCCCCATAGGCAGACTCGGTGTGAAAAACTGCACCATGAGATTCCCTGAGAAACTGCTGGGGTAGTATATACTGAGTGCTAATGGTGTGGTCTGTAGTTTAGCTGTGGAAATTGGTAAGGAAAGCTCAAAACAGGAAAAAAATTTTAGATAGAATAAACTTCCAGGTTATGTATGAGTGAGAAAGAAGGGCTACTCAGCCAGTGTGCATGAGGCCTTAGGTTCAGTTCCCAGTACTGCCTGTAAAACCCTAGAACAACACTACCACGAAGAGGACATTAACCACAGTGAAATGTTTGAAGATCCTTGAAAGGCATGACTGGTAGTTAGAAGTACAGATCACAAAGCCAGAAGGTAAGAGCAAAATGTTCCAGATCAGGGTGTGAGTAGACGTGAAAAAGGTCATACTAGGTAGAGCAAGAGGAGGACATAGTAGGAATGGGGAGCTCTTGAGTAAGGCCACAGGGGAGTGGTCAGTGATGGGTGTGAAGGCCGCAGACTAGATAGCAGCCATGGGATCGCCTTTGTACAGGTGATGCCACTAGCAGAGTTCTGGTGACTAGATAGTGCAGTCTGTGGAGGTGCCCAGTGCATTTGGGGTAGAATAGAACTGTCCAGGAAGGAACAAACAAAAGGATTTTCCTCCCCCTTTTTCTTCTTCTCTGGCAGGGACTTGCTGTGCACTCCAGGCTGGCCTCAAATTCCTTCTTCTGCTTCAGCCTCCCAAGTACTGAGATTCTAGACATGCCATCATGTCCAGTTTGTCTGTAAAGTAGTTTGTGCTGTGTAGCATGGCTTCTCTGCAGCTTTGCCTATCCCTTACCCTATCTTTTTTGTTACTGTCTCTGGTTGTTTGATTTTGAGGCAGGATCTCACCATTTAGTCTGGCTATCCTAGAACTCACTATGTAGACCAGGCTGGCCTCATACTTAGAGGTTCACCTGCCTCTGCCTTGAGAATGCTGAGGTTAAAGGCATGTGCTACATGCCCTGCTTTTTGCCCTATCTTTTGAAGGAAGGCAGAAATGCAGTCTGATTTCCTGAATTTTGTTATTTTGTTAGCCTTTGTTTTTTTTAAAAGATGCTCAAGGCCTATGTGGTTGTGCATACATGCGATGGACTTGGGAAGGAACCAATGCTGTGGGCTTGTCTGTGGAGTATTTTCATGATTTTGGTTTATATAGGAGGGCTCAGTCCCTGTGGCTGATACCATAACTATGTAGGTTAGCTGTATAAGAAGCAAGCTGAACAGAGGGCAGAGAGCTAGCCAGTAAGCAACATTCCTCCAAGACTTCTGCCTCAGTTTCTACTCTTGTTCCAGCCCTGATTTCCCTCAGTGATGGATTATGACCTGGAAGTATAAACAAAATAAACTCCCCTCCCCACAAGTTGATTTTGGTTACGATGTTTACACAGCAACAGAAAACAAGCTACAGTACGTCTTTCATCATTATGAACTCTGAAGCAGAGATGGTCGCAAACTGTGCCTGGGCTGTAATCTTCAAAAGCCTGCTACAGGGACCTACTTCTGCCTGCCAATCCCTACCCTAAAGCTTCCACAGCCTTACAGTATGGCACCAGCAGCTGGGAACAAACACTTAATACACTTAAGACACAGACTCGTGGTGCTATTTCAAAGTCAGACCAGAACACCTTAGTTTTTTGTTTCTCTCTCTTTGGAAATGGCAGACACTTATACTTAGTAGTTAGACTGTGTGTGTGTGTGTGTGTGTGTGTGTGTGTGTGTGTGTGCGCGCGCGCGCGCGCGTGCATGTACACACATGTTGCTAGGGATCCAGCCCAAGACTTGAGCATGCTAAGCAAGCACTGAAGTGCAGCTGCACTCCTCGTGTCTCTGTTGAGAGGCTAGGTCTTATAAATAACAGTAGGCTTTTTAATTACCGACTTTTGTGATTTGCACTTTCCTCCCAGAGCATCTGGACCTTCTTCATTGAGAATAAAATTTCCATTAATACACTGGTGGCGTTATTCTGTCACTTCGTCCAGGAAGCACATAAAAAAGATGCCAGTGTACAATATCGAGAATATGGCCTTCATGCTGCTGGCCTCTATTTTTTGCTACTAGAAATACCAGGTATGTATACATCTGGCCCTCAGTGTTTATAGGTTCCACGTTTATATGCAACCAATTGAATGGAAAAAATACTTGAAAATGTTATGTTGTTGATACTGTGTATATTCTTAATCCTGTGATGATTGGCTCTGTGTTGAACATATACAGACTTTTCACTTAGTTCCTAACCCATACAGCAGAGCAGTTATTATATACTTTTTACCCTGTTCTAGGACTGAAGTTGAAAATGATACATTTTTACTGACGCCTCACCAGTTCCTCAGGGTCAGATGGAAAGGCCATCTCTTGCTTCTTAAATTTTGCATCTGCTGTTAATGCATATTGTGTGTATGTGTGTGTGCATGTGTGTGTGTTTGAATGCTTATGATAAATGTGTACACATGTGTATGAAGCCTGAAGTTAGCGTCATATGACTTTCCTCATAGATCCCCACTCTATTAAGACAGGATATCTCTGATCCCAGAGCTCACGGTTCCTCATCAATTTTGGTCAGTTCAGCTGGCTAGCAACTAGGGATCCCTGTCTGCGTGTTTGGGGAATTACAGGCAGGCTATTATGTTCTCCCAGCTTTTATGTAGATTCTGGGGATCCTTACAGAGCATGTGTTTTTACATTAAGCCATCTCCCTCGCCTAATATACATATTTTAAGACAATTAAACCTAACTTGCTTACACTGTTGGAGTGAGTTGCATGCCTGTAATCTCAGCACTTTAAAGGATGAAACAAGAGGTTTATGAATTTCAATTTATCAAGGCCCTATCTTTAAAACAAAACAAATCCTAACATGCACATTCTATGTTCCTGATGACTAGGCAGTGTAGTCAATCAAGTATTCCACCCTGTGATGTTTGACAAGTGTATTCAGATTTTAAAGAAGAGCTGGCCTCAAGATTCTAACTTGAGTCAAAAAAGAAAAAAGGAACACTTCAGGAGTTCTAAGGATAATCATAGGAGGGGCAGAAAAAGAGGAAAACCGCCTAGGAAAGAAGATAATCAGGTAAGCAGGTGGGATAAAGTGACATTTCCAAGCTGTGCATGGTGATACACAGACTAGCTTTGTCTACATAGTGAGTTTCAGGATTGCCAGGGCTATAGGACTGTCAGCACATGTACACACATACACACACACACACACACACTACAGGACTGTCAGCACATGTGCGCACACAGACACACAAAGTTAAAGGAACTATAGTATGCTAGTGCAAATCACTGTAGCCTTTGATACCTAGACCAACACAAGGGCCAGGTCAAAGTCAGATCATCTGGTGAGCCCAGCGATGACTGGCACTGACTTCATTTGGGCTAATGGAACCATGGGACAGGCACGTGAGACAACATCACAGTCATATATTTTCCATGGTCCAGGAGGATGACTATTCAGGCGAGGAAGAGGAGGAGGAAGAGGAAATTTATTTTTCTGCCCAGGACCTTTGTCAGATACGGAATGCCATATTTAATCTTCTAAAGAATTTTTTAAGGCTTCTTCCCAAGTTTTCCCTTAAAGAAAAGCCACAGTGTATACAAACTTGTATAGAGGTAAGTGAAAATCCCCAAGACTTGTGGCTAACTACAAAAAAATGTAGTAATAGCTCTTATTACTGAGTAGAAGAAACTCACACCTTTCTTGGGTACTTGTCTTCCAGGTGTTTGTTGCATTAACTAATTTTGAACCAATTCCTCATAAATTTCTTCTTTCACAAGCCAGGTGAGTCCTTAATTTTGAAACATGGCAATGTAGAGATTTTTTTCAGAACTGAAGTGCTATTTTAAGCTAACTAGTATATAAGCAGGATTTATTCATTTAAATTTGGCTTATGAAAATGCTGGTGTTGCATACAAGTATGCTAGCTGCTTAGAAGGCTGAGGCCCTTCAGTACTTTGAGTTAAGGAGTTCAGGGGCAGCCTGGGCAACACAGGGATACTGCATCCAAAAATAAAATAAATGAATGGAGAAGGCTTAATGGGCAGTTGAATATTCCTATTATAATCAAATCCATTAGCTCAGGCTTTTCCCTTTTCTTTAGGAACCTTACTGGAGTAAAATACATATCAGAGCTGGCCTATTATGGATTGTATTTGCTGTGCTTCCCAACCCATGGAGAAGGAAATAAGGTAGGGGAGAAGTATGTTCTGATTTCCTAGTTGAATTGAAAGTAGACAGACCACATAATGCAAAGATGTTTGATAATCCATTTGTCTTTGGCTAGCTGAAATTGTGTATTGCTAAAACAAGTGACCACTGGTCATATTTTCAGGGTGAGAACACATATCTTTTTATTATAGTGTATTATAATTGTTTTACTTTTTAGTTTTTGTTCATCTCATTCTTATTCATCTATACTGTGGTTAATTGAGCTAGCAGCTTGTCCTGGTGCTCCCTTGTGTCCACCTGAATGCTAGCATTATAGGCAAGCTGCATGCCTGCCCACCTTTAATGTGGGCTGATAAATTAGTTGTGCTGTAGTTGTGCCTGTGCAGGAAAACTGCTACAGGATTGTTACTGGCCACATTTTTAGAAATCACTGGGGAAGTGTCTTAACAGTATGCTCTGTGGGTAAGGGGCAGCTGGCTGGGGTACCATTTTGACTTACTGTATTATTTCAGGACTTGATACTGTTTCTGTAATAAAATGTCACTATTTCTGCTTGCTGTCTAACTTTCATTACCCAGTAGCTATCAAAAATATTTGGTAGCTCCATAAATTATTACTAAGTTTCCAAGATGAAGCAAATGGTTTTTGTACAACATCCTTAGTTTTCAAAAGCAAAAGCTTTGATGCCACTGGATTCTTTGTCATACTTTAAATCAATTCTTATTTTCTCTTCTAGGTTATTGGTTCTATTTTCCGTCAAATCCTAAATGTAATATTGATGTTAGAAGTAGGAGAAAGGTCCCGTTGTGGCCCCCTTGCAATAACTTCACAAGCCATTAACTGTAGAAATCGGGCGGTCCAGTTTATCAGGTAATGTGCGTGCATCTTGAATTTCTGGTTTTTATCACTCTTCCTTGATAGTCTAGGCCCTGCACTAGCCAAAGTATCTGTCTGACACTTGTGGCATGGGGGTGTCAGACCCGGTGGTGGTTTTGATGGTCAAAATTAAGCACATTGTAGCCAGTCTGTTTCCTGTGCTTGTTCCCATCTGACAACTTCTGTATTAGGGCATTGTTAAGGACAGAGTTAATCTATCGTTCCTGGGCCAGACTCCATCCAGTGTACAGTCAGCTGGGAGGATGGCTGCCGCTTTTCTGTCATTGTCTGCTTGGGTATTTTCCTCTCCAAAACAGAAAGTCTGCCTCCTCTTCCACTTTTTCTCTGTACTTGCATTTCTGTTTCTTGCACATTTTTCTTTGTTCTCCTATTCCATCCTCTACAACAGAAAGTACTTGCTGAAGGATGAAAGTAAGTAAATGGCTTTGAATTTCTTATAATAATTGATAGTCTTATGGGTTGGTTTTTTTTTTTTTTTTGCCATGAATTGCTTAGCTCCTCTTAAAAGTCTGGACCCTCCTGGCTTTATTGGGAAAGGTCCCTTTGCTGTGTCTTCCACTTGTGACTCCTCCATCCCTGAGTATTGGCATGCAGTGTAAAGTGAATGTGTGCAGGTCAGCATGCTCATGCTGCGGGCTTGCTTCCTGTGGTTTGGTGGGAGACGTTGGCACTGGGTGGTATTACCTTGTCTCTTGATAGGGTTGGTTTGTTTGGTTTGGTGATTTGAGTTAGGCTCTCGCTGTTATCTCAGCTAGACTAAAACTCACTCTGTAGACCAGCCTGGCCTGGACCTGGTGAGAATCCTCCTGCCACAGCCTCCTGAGTGCTGGTTTGCAGGTGGGAACCACCTCTGTCTAGCTAGGATAGTCTTTTCTTCTTGTTCCTTGTGTGTGTGTATGTGTGTGCGTGCCTTAGCACACGTAAGGAGACCATAGGACAGCTTGGAAGTATCTGTTCTCCCCTTCCCCCATGTGGGTCCTGGTGATTGAATTCAGCTCATTAATCTTTATTGGCAGGTGCCTTTTCCCATTGAGCCAACTCACTGACTAGCTTTATGGAAAAGAATTTTTAACACATCAAATATCTAGGATATGTTACATAGAAACAACATTGTTTTTTTCATAAGAATTTATGTCATATGCCTTTAATCCCAATACCAGGGAGGCAAAGGAAGTCGGATCTCTGAGTTCAAGGCCATCCTAGTCTACAAAGTGAGTTTCAGGATAACCAGGGTTACATAGAGAGAACCTTTGTCTCAGAAAAAAATAAAAGTAAATAAGTAGAGTTTATCGTATTGCCAGAGAATGTTTATGTAATAGTACAAACCAAAGAGTAAATCAGGAGAATACATTGGTAGTAGCACCTCACTGAACTGACACAAGCCAACACTGAGTCCTAGTGATGTATTTTCATCTTACTATGAAAATTAAGTAGAAGTAAGCCCATGAAGACTGAATTTTGTCCTCTAAATGACTGAACTTCTCAGCAATAATTCTTTAGGGAACTGCATAGGAAGCATGTTTTTCTAATCTGTTGCAATGTATCTTAATTTTACTGAAAAAGTCAAAAAGAAATAGTTTGTTTTTATGGTTTTTAGAGTGTGTGTGTGTGTGTGTGTGTGTGTGTGTGTGTGTGTGTGCGCGCGCGCGCGCGTGCGCTGACATGCACTCCTGCCCGTGCCACAGGCACATGTGGAAGTCAGAAATCAACTTTGTGGAGTCAGTTCTACCTTAAAACCTTTAAAGGTTTGTTGTTGGACTTTTGGGGCCACTGAGCTCCCAAATACATTACACATGGTGACTTATTGTTACTTATGAAGGCCCAGCCTTAGCTTGGCTTGTTTCTTGCCAGCTTTTCTTAACTTAAATTATCCTGTCTACCTTTTGCCTCTGGGCTTTCTCCTTTTCTTACTTCTGTATAGCTTACTTTCACTCTTACCCCGTAGCTGGCTGGGTGGGTGGCTCCTGTAGTCTTCTCTCTCTCTCTTTATTTTCTCTTTCCTTCCCTTTCAGATTTCTCCTTCTATTTCTACTCTCTGCCTGCCGGCCCCGTCTATCCTTTCTCCTGCCTTGCTATTGGCCGTTCAGCTCTTTATTATTCCATCAGGTGTTTTATACAAGCCAAGAATCACAGCTTCACAGAGTTAAACAAATAAAGCATAAACAAAGCAAAACATCTTTATATCATTAAACAAATGTTCCATAGCATAAACAAATGTAACATACCTTAAACTAATATTCTGCAATATATGTTTAAATGGGTTCTGGGGATCAAACTGCTTGCCAGACTTGTGTGCCAAATGCCTTTACCTGTGAGCAATGTTGCAGAGCCCAAAGGGTAGGTTGGCTTTAATATTTGAGGTTCTAAAATATTCAAATATTGGTTTTTGAGAACAGACTTAAGAAGTGCCTGTTGGGTTGTCATCATAGATACATTGTAACTGGTTTGTGTTTTTATTTGAAATAGCTCACTTGTGGATGAACTACGAGAAAGCGTATTCCCAGTCCTTGGTACTTTGTTGCAGCATATCTGTGCCAAGGTACTGTGTGCTCTAGTAATCACAGTATGTAAGTATTGCACATACACAGATAAGTGCCTGTGTATTGGTTCTCCAGCCTCACCAAAGGTAGCTTTTTAATAGATTCTCTCTTAAACAGTACGGGTTTTTCTTGTTTTTTTTTTTTTGTTTTTGTTTTTGTGGCTGTGCTCAGGCAGGGTCTTCCTACATGCTGAAGGTAGGCTTGAATTGCCACCCTCTTGCTCTTAGCCTCTTGAGTGCAGAGATGGAAGGCAAGCACCACCATACCCAGCTAACAAAATGTTCTTTTAAAATATCAAATTTTTATTTTGGGAAATGATAGACATGTACAGGAACAGGGCTGTGGCTCAGCACATTCCCATAATTTATCGGTTTTCTTTGGTTTGTATATCCTGAACATACATGCACACTGTTTTTTTTTTCTTCTGAGGCAAATTCCATCATATTCTTTCATTCATAGTATTTCAGTGTATTTATCTATAAATGATAAGAACTTTCAAACAAAAGTAAAATATTTACTATCTAAAAGACAAACTAATATCAGTTATTTCAGTTATTAATAGTGTTCAATTCTTAAAAGTTTTTTATATGTTTGCATGTTTTGCCTACATGTATATATGTGCATGTATGTCTGCCTGGTGCTCATGGAGTCCAGAAGGGAGTGCTGGATCTCCTGGAACTGTAGTTACAGACAATTAGGAGTCCCTATGTGGGTGCTGAAAACCGAACCCAGATCCTTTGCAAGAGCAGTAAGCACTCTTATTTACTGAGCCATCTCACTAGCTTCATTCTCAAAATTTTACTGATATTTCATAAATTTATGGTACTGTTTAAGCAAATGATTTTTCATTTGAACCGTAACTACTGTAGAGGTTCATAGTCTCTGAAATTGTGTTTTTCTCCAGGGGTTTATAGTTTATTTTTCAATGGGGTACAAAACATAAAATTTGATCATCACTTATCCAGTCTTTAAAGATTATTAAGTTGATCCCACTGCTAATTTACAGCTACAGCACGATGGTCAGTCAGCTTCCTTTTGTGTTCCAGGTGGTAGATAAAGCAGAGTATCGGACCTATGCAGCACAGTCCCTGGTCCAGTTGCTTAATAAACTTCCCTCTGAGTCATATGCTACATTCGTTGCCTGGCTTTACAAATATTCACGGAGTTCTAAGGTAGGAGATGGGTTGTATAAAAGCTTGGGCCCTGGCTCTGAGCACCAGGTGACAGCCAGGTCTGAATGCCGACGAGATCTTTGCTTTGGTTCTTACTACTGCTGATGGATTCCTCTGATTCTTCCTTGGCAGATTCCACACCGGGTTTTCACTCTTGATGTTGCTTTAGCTCTCTTAGAGCTACCTGAAAGAGAGGCGGATGACACTGTGTCATTGGAGCATCAGAAGTTTCTAAAGCACAAATTCTTTGTGCAAGAAATTATATTTGATCGTTGCTTAGACAAGGCACCTACTGTCCGCAGCAAGGCGCTGTCCAGCTTTGCACATTGTCTGGAGCTGACCTCTAGCAGCACGTCAGAGAGTATATTGGAGATCTTCATTAACAGTGAGTAGGGGAGGCTAGAGCTGCAACTCAGTGTTCACTTGACCAGTATATATGAGGCCATGGGTCAGGACCCACTATGGATGACCAAGAAAAACAAATCGAAAAATGAACTACAAGTGGATCATTCTTTGTTAAAGCTGTGCTGTATGTGTGTGTGTATTTAATTTTACCTAATCCTCATAAACCACTTCATCATTTGTTGTTCAATTATTGTGTGTAGGATCAATCCTAGGACCTCACACAGCTAAGCATGTGTTCTAAAATATGAGCATATCTCCAACTTGAAATCCCTTTTCAAGAAGGGAAGCCTGATATGTTTGAACCCCCTTTCTGAAACAACAAAAAAAAGCTCTTAGCTGTTCTGAGCGTGTCTGCTCTGGCTCTGACTGTCTGTTTCTGTGGGATTTATACTCTTTTGTCTGTCTGCTTACTTTCAGGTCGTCTAGTCTCAGGGATACAGAGTCACTCTGCCTCTTTATTGAGACAATCAACAGGTAATCATCAGTAGTTTTCAAACACCAAATTGGCTCTTTAAAAAAACTGCGCTGTTAGAATGACCCTGCTTCCATACTTACCTGTCCTAATCTAGTGTTGGTCTCTCCTTCCTCAAATGAGGTTTGTTTCAGCCATTTCATCACTCGAGTAGCATGTCGTGCGTATGCTATAGAAACTATAACAGACGTTTACCATAATCTTTTTTTTAATAGGTTGGCCCTCGATGCAGAGCAATACTGGCAAAAGCGGTGAAAGAATCCAGTCTGGAGGTACCCACGCTTGTTCTTTCCACTCCCTCTTGTTGCCTCTTCCAAATATGCCCCATTTGGTCTCACACGTGAGAGAGAACATCTGTGATTTTGCACTTCCGAGTCTACTAATTTCGCTTGACATAATCTCTGGCTTCATGCGTTCTCAGCAGGTGGCATCATTGTATTCATCTGTGTTGAATAGAACTCTACCTGTGTGTGTATCAGTCTCCATCTTCATAGGCACTGAGGTCAGTCTGTGACTCCTGTGTTGTGAAAAATGCCACAATAAGCATGAGGTATATCTGTTGTATGCCGAGCTAGATTTCTATCAGTGAAAAACACACATACCTGTGATATGGCTGAGTCATGTGACAATTCTGTTTTTGTTTTATTAAGAACTGCTTATTACTGGGTATATATTTGAGACAGGGTCTTACTTTGTATCCCTCAGCCTCACCTGCCTTGCCTCCCAAGTGCTGTATTAAAGGCAGGTACCACTATACTCAGACAATAAAGTCACTTCCCCTGATAGTGTATTAGGATTGCATTTCACTTGCACCCTTGCCAGAATTGGTTGTTTTGTTTATATTTTTGAGACAGAGTCTCTTATAGCCAAGGATGGTATGCTCCTGAGTCCTCCACCTTCTGAGTGCTGGGGTCACAGGAGTACACCACCATACCGTCTGTGTAAAGTTGGGGGGTGTTAAAGTCACCGACTATTTCCCTGTCAGAGTCTATCTGTGTCTTTATGTCAGAAGTGTTTGCTTTTATGAAATTGAATACACTGGCTTTTGGTATATATTTGTTCATGGCTGCATCTTTTGATATATTTTTACTTATTCATTATTTACTGGCTTTTGTATATATTGTTCATGGTCATATCTTTTTATACATATTTATTTATTTATTTACTTGTTTATTTATTTTGAGACAGGTTTCTCTGTAGCCCTGGCTGTCCTAAAACTTGCTCTGTAGACCAGACTGGCCTCAAACTCAGAGAGCCACCTGCCTCTGCCTCCCAAGCGCTGGGATTAAAGGCATGTGCCACTGCAGCCTGACTATATATATTATATATATATATTATTTTACCAATACGTTTATCTCTTCTGACTAATTATGACTCAAAGTCTGCCCTATATGATATCAATATTGCTTGCTTCCAGGTTTCATTTGTTTAGAATATCATTTTTTAATTCTTTTACTTTGTTTTTTTACCTTTTTCCCTTTTTTTATTTGCAGACAAAGAATATTCCTTTTTTTTCCCAACAATTCTTTATTGATTCTTTGGGAATTTCTGTACCCCAATCCCACTCACCTCCTGGTCCCTCCATATCGGCCCCTTACCCCTGCAGCATTCCCCCAAGATACCCCCTTCAAAATCAATAAAAACAACCAAAAAAACCACCTTGCTCCTCTGTCTTACCAACACCTTTTCATTCATGCTAGTGGCATTGGGTGCTACCGTGTGTCACACAGTACACCCTTTTGTCCAATCAGCACCATCCACAGAATGTTCATTGCAGCGAGTCCTTGGTCTGGGTCAAGGCCTCTGTGACACCATCATCCCTGGACCCTCACTGAAACTCTTCTTGGATATCCTGCTGTTGCCCTGAGTTATGGATATCCTGCGGTTATCATTCTGAAGGACCATTCCCTTCAAACGCTCCAGCAGGTCATAGATGGGGTAGATGTTAACATGGGTCAACCGAAGGCTCAGCATGTGGCTCTAGGTGGTACTTGAGCTGCTCAGTCTGGGCCACTGGCACTGCCCCCTTCCCACCCCCTCAGGCAAGGGACAGAGTCAGCTCTCCTACCAGCATGGTTCCTATGACCTTCTGTGTCATGACTCAGGCCATGGACATCATCACAGACCCTAGCTGCAGCTCTGGCCTGGACATCATCATGGGCCCAGTGGCAGCACAGGCCACCCAGATCAGTATGGCCCTTGTGGCACCAAGGACCAAGGAATATTTTTTTAAATTTATTTATTATGTAAACAGTGTTCTACTTACATCTATTCCTGCATGCCAGGAGAGGGCACCAGATCTCATTATGGATAGTTGTGAGCCATCATGTGGTTGCTGGAAACTGAACTCAGGACCTTTGAAGAGCAGCCAGTGTCTTAACCTCTGAGCCTTGTCTCCAGCCCCCAAGGAATGTTTCTTACAGGTAGAAATCAGGTGTTGTTTTTAAGCTTGTGAAGGGTTTTTGTTTTTTGCATTTTGTTTTGTTTTGGTTTTGGTTTTTCAATACAAGTTTTCTTTGTGTACTCCTGGCTTTTCTGGAATCCTCTGGTAGACTAGACTGGCCTTGAACTCACAGTGATCCACCTGTCTCTGCTGAGATTTAAGGTGTGCTGAGATTAAAGGCGTGCACCACCACTACTTTCTCTGTCTCTTTGATTCTGAAGCTGCCTATTCTGGTTATAAGGATCTGATCTGCCAGGGTTGTGTTTGTTTTGCTTTTTCCTTTGGTTGGAACTGACTACATAAGGGAGAATGGCACTTCCCTTGTGGGTTTCATATTCTTTCTCGTTCTGTACTCTTAAATTTTTACCTAGTCATGTTGGCTTAGGTGCAAATGCTTTCTTTTTTAAATCAACATTCTATTTTTCCCCAGATTTGGGAAATTTCCTATTTCATTGAGTAGGGTTCTTTTTGGTTTGGGTTTTATTTTTTGCCTTTAATCTATATTTCCATGCTACCTTCTATACTTAATGTTAATTTGTTATTTTAATCCCATCCCAGATTTTATTCATATTCTGTTCATAATGTTTTTTAGTCTTTATTATTTCCTGGGAGTTTTCATTCATCCACCTTGTTTTTAAGCCTTGAAATACTTTTGCTTTTGCTTGATCCAGTCAGTTGGTAAGGCTTTCTGCTCAGCTTTTATTTCACTTAGTAAGTTTTTTATTACCAAAATTTGTTTTTTCAAAATTTCTCTCTTTATTAAATTTCTTATTTTATAAACTTTATTATTATTGTTAAACTGTTCAGTTTTTTTTATATTTCTTAATTCTTTTAAAAATCACTCTTTTGAATTCTTTACCTACCATCTCATTTTCTACAGTATCTTTGGAGTCAGTTGCTAAAGAATTATGACCTTTTAGAAATGTCATATTGCTTTGTTTTAATATTACTTGTATTTCTGTGTTGAGATTTCTGCGTTTTGGAGATGGACACGCCTTCCACTTCTCCGTGATAACCTCCTTAAAGAGCACACTAGGACTGGCTAGTTTCATGTCACCTTGACCCAAGTTAGCATCATTTGGGAAGAGGGAACCCTCAACTGAGAAAATACCCCCCACCAGACTAGCCTGTGGGTAAATTTGTAAGGCATTTTCTTGATTGATTTTTGGTGTGGGAGGGAACTGCTCACTGTGGCCTGTGCCACCCCTGGTCTGTGGTCCTGAGCAAGCCATGAGGAACAAGCTAGCAAACAGAATTCCTCTATGACAGTGGTTCTCCACCCTCCTAATGCTGTAGCTGTTCACACAGTTCCTTATGCTTTGGTAACCCCCAACCATAAAATTATTTCATTACTTCTTCCTAACCTTAATTTTGCTACTGTTATGAATCATAACTTAAATATCTGACATACAGGATACCTGATATGTGACCCTCCCCCAAAGGTGGTCAAGACTGCAGGTTGAAACCCACTGCTTTATGACCTCAGCTTCAGATGCCTGCCTTGGGTTTTTGCTCTTATTACTCTCAGTAATGGAGTGTGGCCTAAGACTTGCAAGCAGAAATGAGCTCTTTCCACCCAAAGTTATTTGTCATGTTGTTATATCACAACAATAGAAATCCTAACTGGCTGAGGCTACCCTTGTATTATATTTCTATTACATATATTTCTAGTTGGAGTTGTAGTGTGCTTTCCCTGTTACTTGTCTGATGGACTTGGTGGATATCTCTAGAGGTTGGCATAGTTTTGTCACAGCTTGAGAGTTCTGCTTTCTTTGTCATGCATCTCCCAGGACTGGAGTCTTACAGATAAGGCAGATGTGTTGTAAACAGCCAAGTCCACTGGGTACTTCCTCTCTAACTACGTTTTTAGTCTTTCTTGTTAATAATGTATGGTTATGCAATAGCCCCTTTTAGGTGTGGTGTACAGTGTTGTTGCTTCTCTCTCCTTTTGCTGTAGGAGTGGGTAACTGGCAGCTCCTTCTCTCCAGCAATGTCCACGTACATCATCGACTTGAGCTTTTCTCTCCCATAGTCCTTGAGTTAAAGTGTCCACTGACCTCCAAGCAAGAGCAACTTGGCTACAGAGCTGGGTGTTTTCTTTCCCTAACTGGGAAAGGAGCTCAGAGGCAGAGCATTTTATATAATGTAGTCAAAGTAATAGTAATAGCAATAAGTATAAAGTAGAAGCCAAATACCACTTTCGATACCCATATTCCATACCCCAAATGCTAACAACAGGAATAGTGGAATAGGAGTATTTATTGGATTAGTGTGTGTGTGTTTAGGCATGCTTGCCACAATGGGTGTATAATGAAGGTCAAAGGAAATCAGTTCTCTCTTCCACCATGTGTGTTCGTAGGATTGTACTTAGGCTGTCAAGCAACTGTCTACCTGTTAGGCTATCTCACTGGTGCCCCAAACCATAATGTTTTATTTTAGACAGTTGTGAACCATCATATGGGTGCTGAAAATTGAAACAGGGTTCCTGAAAGAGCAGCGAGTGCTCTTAACCATCTCTCCAGCCATAAACCAGTAAGTTTTGAAAAATGAATGAAAAGGAAAGGGAGAAGAAATGGGAAATGAAAAGCAAAACAAAATCTTGACTATTCAAAGTGTGGAAAGGGAGCAAGTAGGGGAAAGTTAGAAGGTGAAGTTCATAAGTATGTTTTTAAAGAAAAGGAGGAAGGTATAGAGTGGATAAATGATAAGGATCAGAAGGAAAAGTCCCAACATCAAAAATAATAGAGAGCTGGGATGTTGCTTAGCAGGTAAAAACACTACCCAAGTTCAGTTCCCAGAACGCATATTTTTTAAAAAGCTATGTGCAGTGTGTGTGTGTAACCCCAACATTCCTAAAACAAAATTCAAGATGGACACAGGAGACTCACCCAGAGTCCCATGGCCCAGCTAGCCTGGTATGCAACCGCAGCAGAAATGAGATACCCCGCTTCACCCGGATAGAAGCCTTCAGAACACTATCCCCAGCGATGGGAAGCTGCTGCAGCCCCTCACCTGTTTATCGCCCATGTTAAATGTGGACTTTCAAGGAGGCACCCAAGAACCAATGCCCAGCTGGGCTCAGTTTTAGTCTGTCACTGGGGATGAGTCAAACAATCTTTCATGCAAAATCTATTTCCTCTCAACCTTCTTGAGTTATTAATTGGATCAAACTCTTAAAAGTCAACAACCGCTTAGTAAGAAAATGAGATTTACTGATGTATAGTGCAGATCATGGGAGAGAGACCCCAGTGCAAAGTAACCAGTGGGGACATAGACTTACATAGTTGTAGTTGTTTCCTTTTACTCTAGCCCCACACTGGAACGCCAAAATGTTGTTGGTTGTGTTTATTATTCTGACTCTTTGCTCTTTTGGGGACCCAACACCTAGCTTCCAAATAAATCACTCATGTAGGCTTATTCTTACTTATAAATGCTCAGCCTTAGCTTGGCTTGTTTCTTGCCAGCTTTCCTTAACATAAATTACTCCCCCCACCATCTTTACATTTTAAACAAATGTTCCAGGGCATAAAAAATGTAACACACCTTAAAGTAATATTCTATAGGTGTAGTGCCTGCCAGAAAGCTACCATGTTTCCTGCCATGATGATAATAGACTAACCTCTGAAGCTGTGAGCAAGCCCCCAATTCTCTTATAAGAGTCTCTTTGGTCATGGTGTCTCTTAACAGCTATGAAATAATGACTGGTGGTTTGAATGTAATTGGCCCCCATATGCTCATAGGGAATGGCAATAGTAGGAGGTGTGGCTTTGTTGGAGTGGGTATAGCCTTGTTAGAGGAAGTGTGCCATGGTAGGGATGGGCTTTGAGGTCTTGTTTATGCTCCAGCCATGCTTAGTGTTTTAGACCACTTTACTGCCTACAGCATCAAGATGTAGAACCCTCAGCTCCTCTCCAGCACCATGCAGCACCGTGTCCCACCCAATTAAATGTTTTCCTTTCTAAGAGTTGCTGTGGTCATGGTGTCTCATCCCAGCAGTAGACACCCTAATAGAAGTAACTAAGACATTGCCTAAACTCATTCCAATAATTTTTGTTTGTTTTGCTTTATTTGTGGGATTCTTGGGATTTTCTGTATAGAAGGCTAAATCTCCTACAAATAGAGATAAGTTACTTGTTCCTTTCCACCCAGATACTTGTTATTTATTTTTCTCACCTAATTGTATAGCTCGACTCTCTAGTACAATGTTGACAAGAGATGGAAAGTCTTGACTTGTTCATTTGTCTTTTATTGGGCAGAGCTTTGGTTTTCACTTGAGTATGAGATCAGCTGTGAGCTTTTGCAGGATAGCCAATGTCTTTGGGAGGAAGTTTCCTTCTGTTCCAAATTTGCTCACTGTTTTTATCCTCAATATTGCAAATGTTTTTCTTTATATATTAAGGTGACTGTGTAGTTTTCCTCTTTCTTCTGAAGCTATGGTATTTTCACTCATTGATATTTCACATTAGAATCAACATTGAATTCCTGAGATAAACAGCAGACATAATACAACCTTTTTTAAATCTTGTTTAGTTCAACTTGCTAGTGTTTTGCTGAGAATGTTGGGATTGTAGTCTGAAGAGTACTGTTCTGTTGAGGTGTCTGGTTTTGCTGTCAGTGATAATAGTGTGGTATTATGGGGGGGGGAGTATATTTTTCTCTTCTACCTTTTGATCATTGGTGAATGATTCTCACTCATTTTTTGTGTCATTTGGTGGAATTCCTACTAAAACCATCAGGTCTTTGGCCTTTGTTAATATGGTGTGAGATTCTTTTATGGCATTGAGTTTGTTTAGAGATGTCGTCGTTTTCTTTCTTTCGTTAACTCATCTTTGAACGTCAGTCTTCTAAACACTTGTTCATGTCACCAATTCGTTAGCATAAAATTGCTCTGTATCCCTTTGTGCTCCCTTTTTCTTCTGTAAAACTGATAGGAATTTCATAATGTTGAATAGCTCATTTTAACAATTTGAATACTATTGTCTTTGTCAGTCTAGCTAAAACTTGCTAAGCTTGTTAATTTTGTGGGTACTTTCAAAATGTTACTTGGGCTTCATTGAATTTTCTCTGCTCTCATGTCCTGTTCTTGAGATGCCGCCTTATATCTCTAAGCAGTTTCCATCTTTGACTTGGGGACTCTGAGGGGTTGCTAATCCCCTTCCATAAGTCTTTGATATGAAAACCATGTTCATATCATTATCAAGGTATCATTTATTTTCCATTCCTTGATCTTCTCACAAGAGTAAATTGACATTTCCCAGAGCTCCCATAATGTGTGACTATAACACGTGACAGTCCAGCAGACTTACTAGGCCAAGTGTCAGAGTGTACAAACAGAAAGAATAGCTGCTTTTGAACAAGTTATGTATAGTGCATGTCTTTTATTTCAAATATTTAAAAACTTTATTGTATTGTGTATCTGTGTGTAATGGAGTAGATAGGCCACAGCGTGGTGCACATGTGGAGGTCAAAGGTCAACTTGGGAGAGATATTTTCTCCTTTCTTTACATGGGCTTTAGGGACTCCAACAAGGTTGTCAGGTTTGCATGACAAGTCTCTGTGCCCACGGAGGCCTCTTCCCAGCTCCTCTCACCTCTTTAATGAATTATTGAGTGTTCTGAAAACGTTCTGTTTAGGTTTATAATTTATACCAAAGACATAATCTAAACTCATTTAGGTACTTGGTAATTCCAGAGCCTTTCTAGTAGAAAATTGAACGTTGACACGTATTACCTCATCTGATATTTACAATGTCTCTGGGTTTTGATGAGTCTTACCAAACAAAACAGAAGTAGTAAGCAATTCATTCAGAGTTGAAGAGGTCTGCTGGAGCCAGGGCTCAGTAATTCAGACAGTGCTGCTCTTCAGGAGGTCATCCCCAGTTCAGTTCCCAGCTCCCCTTGGACGACCTGCAGCTGCTTCTGACTCTGGTTCCCAGGGTTCTGATGCCATCTTCTGACCTCCACAAGCACCCCCTACACACACAATATTTATGTATTATTACATAAATAAGAATTAAAATGAATTTTTAAAAATTCATTTAGTAGTAGAAGCCAGGATTTAATATCAAATTCCTAGATATTCTTAAGTTAATGCTTTTTACAGTGAATGCCTGATTATTCAGATTTTCTTTTTCAAGACTTTTTGATAGTCTCCTTTCTTAAAACTTACAATAACTAGCGAGTCTCTAGCCAATCCTGTCTACTTGTGACACCTTAGGCGTGCCTGATCTTTCTCAAGACTGTATTCTCTGGTGTCATCAACAGAGAGATGCTTCATGACAATGCTGAGAAAAAGGACCAGGGACGAAAAGATCAACGTCAGGAAGTCTGCACTCCAGGTGGGCCTTCCTCCTTAAACACACGTTTAGGAATACCATACTCATTGCGTATTGCTTAACTCGCTTTTCATACTTTACCTTGGTTCTGCCATTTATAAACTATAGAAGAACTACAAGAATTTGCTGATTTTTAAGCTTTCAAATTTACTTGGTGACTTTTGAAGACATACAGCTGTTGTGGAGTGGGTGGTACTTACCTGTAATGCCAGCTCTCAGGAGGCAGAGGCAGGTATCTGAACTGAAGCAAGTTTTTGAGTTCAGCCTGATCTACATAGTGAGTTCCAGCTCAGAGCAGGGCTACACAACCATATAAAAAACCAACTTTTTATGTGTATTTGTTTGAACTAAGAGACCATAGATGAATCTCAGTAAGTTTGTGAAATTGGTTGTAAAAGTTGTAATGTTCAGTTTTCTCTAGATAGAGTCCTTACTTTCTTCCTTCCTTTTTTTTTTTTGTTTTTGTTTTTGTTTTGTTTTTTGTTGATTTTGGTTTTCTTTTTTTTTATTTGGTTGGTTTTGGGTTTTTTTTTTTTATTATTATTATTTAATTAAAAATTTCCACCTCCTCCCATTTCCCTCCGCTCCCCCCATCCTCCTTCCCCCTTCCCCTCCCTCTCCAGTCCAAAGAGCAGTCGGGGTTCCCTGCCCTGTGGGAAGTCCAAGGTCCTCCCCCCTCCATCCAGGACTAGGAAGGTGAGCATTTAAACAGACTAGGCTCCCACAAAGTCATTACATGCAGTAGGATCAAAATCCAGTGCCATTGTCCTTGGCTTCTCAGTCAGCCCTCCTTGTCAGCCACGTTCAGGGAGTCCGGTTTGATCACATGCTCCATCATCCAGCTGGTTGTTTTTTTTTAGGATAGGGTTTCTCTGTGTAACCCTGGTTATACTGGAACTTGCTCTGTAGGTTAGGCTAGCCTCAAAATCAGAAATCCGCCTGCCTCTGCCTCCCAAGTGCTGGTATTAAACTCGTGTGCCACCACTACCCAAGAGAGTCCTTTCAAAAGGTAGACTGCTACAGGGAAATTGGCTTGAGCCATAATCTCTAAAATATTAAAAACTACAAACTTGAAGTGTTTCTTTGCCTGTGTTTACTTTTTCTCTGTCTGTCCCAGAGTCACCACTCATGCTGTACCTTCCAGGTGTTAGTGAATATTCTGAAACACTGTGACATCTCGCTCATGGAGGAGGACCTGTTCATCCTGCAAGAGCATTGTCGAGACCCCGCCTTATCTGTGCGGAAGCAGGCCTTACAGTCCCTTACAGAACTTGTTATGGTGAGAAGTGTCATGCTGAGTATAAATGCTTAGTGCTTTGCATCAAAAGCAGCTGTGAGCTGGCTTTAATGGTTCACACTTACAATTAACATTCATAAAGAAGGCAGGAAGATACTGTGGAGTTGAGAGTATCTTTGTCTAAAGTATATCCTGATGATAGATAGATAATGATGATGATGATAATGATGATGAAGAAGAAGAAATAGATAGATAGATAGATAGATAGATAGATAGATAGATAGATAGATAGAGACAGATAGATAGATGATAGATAGGATGATGATAGATATATGGTGACAGACAGACAGATAATAGATATATAGATAGATGATGATGATAGATAATAGATACATACATACATAGATAGATAGATAGATAGATAGATCGATCGATCGATCGATCGATAGATAGATAGATAGATAGGATGAGAGAGAGAGAGAGAGAGAGAGAGAGAGAGAGAGAGAGAGAGAGAGAGAGAGAGAGAGATATATTGATTTGGAGTTGGAGCCTTAGTGCTAGAGCATGTACTTTGTATGTATAAAGTGCCTGAGTTAGTTGCCAACAACAAAAGTGGGCAGAAGTAACTCTACATAATAATTACCTGTTGTTAAATGTTAAATAAACAATTTAGAAATTCAGCTGAGGACTAAATACCAACCACTGGGGAATAACAAGTGTCTTTGGCAGATGACTTTCTTTTTTCATTGAACTATGAACTCATGCTAAACAATGTTGTGTCACTTTTTGATTTTATCTTAAATCTCTACTAGAAAAAGAAACTAAAATTTTAAAATTGATTCTAACTTTTATTTATGTGTATGTGTTCTCATGTCTGTGTCAGTGTATGTAAATATGTGTGCAGGTGTCCACAGGGGTCAGAGGCACACAGTACATTGTGAGACCAGATGAGTGCTGGGAATTGAATGCCAGTCCTCTGGAAGAACAGACAGTGCTCTTAACCACTGATCCATCTCTATTACTTTTTGTTGCTGTGATAAAACTCCATAGCTAAAGCAACTTAAGGAAGAGAGAGCTTCTTTTTGCGGAGGCAAGAGTCCACTGTGGCAGGGAAGCACAGCAATAAGTAGCAGGAATTGTAACGATCAGGAAGCTGAGAAAGCACATCTTAACAAAGAATAAACTGGAAGTGGGTTGTAACTGGAGGTTTCTCTACGATGTGCCAGTTCCCAAATAACCAGGCTGAGGCTTAATATTAATTGCAAACTGTTTGACCTATTAACTCAGGCTTATTATTAACTAGCTCTTACAACTTAAATTAATCCATTTCTATTATTCTACATTTTACCACGAGGCTTGTGGCTTAATACCCTACATCTTGCTTCCCCAGCAACTGCCCCTTTTCTCTCTGTATCTCTGTTTGGATTTCCTGCCAGGCTCTATTCTCCCTGGCTATTAACCAAATATTAACTTTATTAGCTTCTTTATTAACTAATGGTAATAAAAGGTATTCACAGCATACAGAGGGGCATCCTACATCAATGGGGCAAGACTGTAAACCCTCAAGTCTGAAAGCCTACCCTGACCAGTGACATGTTCTCCAGCAAGACCGTACCCTCCCCACTGTAACCTCTCCAGGAAGCTACAGCAACTGGAGGCAAAGTGTTCAAATGCCTGAGCCTGAGGGACGTTGCTTGCTATAATCACCTATACCATCTCTTGAGCCCCAGAAACAGAAACCTCAAAGTCAAATTGGTTGATTAAATTCAGGCCTAGATTAATTTTTTGTCAATTAAGATTTGTAGCCAGGCGGTGGTGATGCACGCACGCCTTTAATCCCAGCACTCTGGAGGCAGAGGCAGGCGTGCTAATCTGAGTTCAAGACCAGCCTGGTCTACAGAGCAAGTTCCAGAACAGCCTGGGCTACACAGAGAAACCCTGTGTCAAGGAGAAAAAAAAAAAAGGATATATAGATATTACCAGAAGAGCATATTCATTAATACGATATATAATTTATTTCTCTTAATTAACTATTGAAGAATTTTTAAAGGATTATTATTTTTATCAAAGAAGGCATTAAAGAACACATACTTTTAGGATTTGTTTTTACTGCTTAAGTGTGTGTATGTGTGTGTGTGTGTTTGTGTGTGCATCCATGTGAGTATGGGCTTGTAGTGCCCATGGAGAACTGAGCAGGCACAGACAGTTGTGAGCTGCCTGGCCTGCTGCTGGGAATCCAGCTTGGGTCCTCTAGAAGAGCAACAAGTGCAGTTAACTGCGGAGCCAGTTTTCCATCCCCAGAAGTACATATTTTGGCTTTTTCTGCCAGCACATTGTCCTTGGAGTAAATATTTGTTGTTCCTGAATAACCAAAATAATATTGATCACTAATAATAAAATAATGGCTTTAATTTATTAGTTTAAATTTAATATGTGTTGGTTTATCATAAGGGGGAGGTTACAGATTTTCAGGATATCTGAATATTGACTTTTTTTTTCTTTATGTTTTATTTCCAGTTAAGTACAGTTACTTATTTGTTTGCTTGGGTATAGTGTCAAGTATTATATGCAGGGCTTTGAGCACACAAAGAATGCCCTCTAACATTAAACTGTAGCCCTGCCCCTGGAGGTGTGATTATATTTAGTGTGTCTGCTGAAATGTTGTTTGCAACTTCATTGACTTGTACCTAGACCTGTGTTAGATCTTCTGCTGCAATGTTTTCAACCTTAGGCCCAGCCTACATGTGTGCCAGTCCAGAAAGCCTGGTTGATGGGAGTCATCCCAGTGGTGATGGACTGTGAAACCACGGTGCAAGAAAAGGCCTTGGAATGCCTGGACCAGCTCCTGTTGCAGAATCTTAAGCATCACAAGAAATTTCACAGTGAGGACAGAAGCCAAGTGCTTGCTTGGGCACTACTTGCTCTCCTTACTACAGAAAGCCAGGGCCTCAGGTACGTTAACTGTATCATTCAGTTTCTCATAGAAGGCCATGTGCTGCTCTTTGTTGTACTGTGTTTTAAAGAGTTTATTTTATGTGTATAAAAGGTGTGTGTGAGAGAGAGGGGAGGGAGGGAGAGACAGAGAGACAGACGGTCAGTACTTGAGGAGCCAGAGGTGGCATTGGATTCCCTGGAACTAGAAACTATAGTTGTGTATGCTTTTTGAGCCATTGTGTGGCAAGTCATGTTAACCACCTGAGTTATCTTTCTGGCCCTCATATGGTGTTTTAATAATAATTTTTCCATTGACATCTAAAGATCAGTCTCCAGATTCTTAGTTTATGTATGTGAAGACCCTTTTTTCTTGCTCCTCGTCAGATCTCAGCACTTCTGTGGTAAGTGTTTTGGTGGTGCCTGGACCACTGTGCTTTTTCCCGACTCTTTTCCAGTTTCAGACTGGCTCTGCATAGTGCAGAACACAGGGTGGCACTGGAGCATCAACATCCCACTGCCTGCTGTTGGGTGGTGGGGAGCTACAGCTTTCCTTGGTTTTTGTTTGGTTTTGTTTTCTGTTTTTTTTTTCAAGACAGAGTTTTCTGTGTAGCCCCAGGGGTTCTGTAACTCCCTCTATAGACCAGACTGTCCTCAGACAGTACTGAGATTAATGTCCTCCACACCCAGCCTACATTTTCATTCATAAAAGCTAAACTTTATACGTTTTAATGAGCTAGTGGGTTAAATAGCTCTGTGCTTTTGTTTCTGTTTGATAATATTGAGGGTGGTGGACATTATACTGAGGAGTTAGGATCTATGGTGGTACCTTGACTACAGTGATCTTATGATCGGTTTGTATTTAGATGATAGGGCTGCTTTTTTCTTTTCTTTACATCTCCTTGTCACACAAGAGACAGACTTTTCCATGTAGTTATGCAACAGAAAGTAATTGATTGCCTTAAACTTCTGCCCTATAGCCTTTGCAGAGAACTTCTTTCTGGACCTGAGTTTCCTCATTTTCAAGAGCAGATAATGGGTTACTTGATATCTTCATCCCTTTGCTATTAAAACTTTACCGCTAAAAATTCATTCATGTGGTCAGCGCTTTCTCGGTCCCACCTACGCTTTTGCTGATGCTCCTTTGGGGAGAGGCTCACTCAGCAGCACAGCCTACTTACTGCTTTCTCACTCTTGTTTTGGCCTTAGTTTCTTCTCCTGTTGCTGTGATAAAATACCCGGACAAACGTGACTTTAGGAGGAAAGGGTTTGTCTCGGCTTCCTGTCCCATGTTATGGCCTGCCAAGATGGCGAAGTCACGGCAGCAGGAGCTTGAGGGGGCTGCTCACATTGTGTCCACAGTAAAGTAGCAGAGAGCAGCAGAGGTCTGTGCAGAGCTCTGTCCCCACTGAACGACAGTCAGTGAATGCAATCTAGATGATTCCTCACAGACATTCTCAGACGTTAACCTTAGTCTAATTCCCTCATAGGTGATTCTAGATAGTTATCCCCTAGTCTTAGGTGTCCAGGGTTGCTTGATTTGAAACAATAGATTCCCTCTCAAGATGACTTTTCTTAAATTTAGTTACTTTTTAACTTAACTAAACATTGAGCTCATTGGTATTTCATGTATTCCTATTATAATGTATATCAACATGATACCCCCTAAGCATCCTATGACATGCATTCTCTAAAGCTTGATAGGACATGAGTACCCTTTAAATGCCTGCTTTTCGAGTATAAATGCTGGTGGTTATGAGTATTTATAGCTTCATTTCAGTCCCATTTCTTTATGTTTTTAAACACACAGCTATCTGATTTCAAAATGATAAAAATAACTGCCAAAAAGGAGGCTGCTCGTGCTCAGACTCAGCCTTCAGCTTACCCCGCCAGCCACCCAGCCTAGACACATTAAATAGGTGTCACAGCCTTCCCTGTGTGTGTCACCACAGTGAGAGACTATCACTACTGTGCCAACAGCTTTTGTCAGCTGGACACAAACTAGAGTTGTCTGAAAGAGGAAACCTTAATTGAGAAAATGTCTCCATGAGATCCAGCTGTAAGACATTGTCTTAATTAGTGATTGATAGGGGAGGGTCCAGTCTATTCTGGGTGGTGCTGTCTCTACGCTGGTGGTGGTCGTCCTGGGTTCTATTAGAGGACTGAGCAAGACAATAAACAGCACCCCTCCCTGGCCTCTGCTTGACTCCAGGTTCCTGCCCTGTTTCAGTACCTGTCCCGATTTCCTTTGATGAACAGCAATATGCAAGTGTAAACCAAATAAACCCTTTCCTCCCATTGCTTTTTGGTCATGGTGTTTCAGCACAGCAATTGAAACCCTAAGACAATTGCTTTTATTTAAAAAAAAAAGGGGGGGGGCATGGGGAGGTACAGTCCTAAATTTTTTTTTCCAGAAATGTTAAATGTAAAGTTTTAGGGGAAGTGGTCTCTTATGTTTGCTAGGTGTCGTGTGACAGCACAGCACAGTCCGGGTGGCCTAAACGGTTCTGGAGACTGCTGAGTCTCGGGAAAGGTTCTTGCAGCTCTGCTTTTTCCTAGCCCTCTCCTTGGCCTGCAGGCAGTCCTGACTTGCTATGCTCCCAGAGTCTTTTCTGGAATCTATAAGGGTCCAGTCTCACCTTGTAAAGACACCTGTCACATTTGATTAAGGTGTGTGCTAGTGGCCTCCTCTGATTTTTATCAGTTATTTTATAGGCACTGTCTCCAAATGCAGTCACGTTCTGAGATTACAGGTGTTGGGCCTTGAAGATAGAGATTTTAGAGGGGCATAGATCAGCCTTTTACACACTTCTAAAGGGAAACCATTGCATCTTCTTTTCAACCCTGAGCCTAAGGAGCTGCAGGGTGATTGTGTGTTAAAATGATTGCCAGCAGCTGCTATGGCTGCGCGTTTCCCTTTTAAAGCTCACGTTGAAATGAACTGACATATATGAGTGTCATGAGGTGGGGGTCCTGTAAGAAGGGCTGGGCAGCCAGGACTGGCTGGGCTGTCTCGCTCCACCTTTGTGCATTTGTGCTGTGTGAGTACCCTTGCTTTCCACGGAGGATGCAGCATGTAAGGCGCTACCGTGGAGCAGAGAACGCCCTCAGCATACACGAAACCTGCAGCCTTAACCTTAGACTTCTGAGCTTACAGAACTGTGAAAACATGGGCTGGAGAGGTGGCTCAGTGGTTAAGAGCATTGCCTGCTCTTCCAAAGGTCCTGAGTTCAATTCCCAGCAACCACATGGTGGCTCACAACCATCTGTAGTGAGTTCTGGTGCCCTCTTCTGGCCTGCAGATATACACACAGACAGAATATTGTATCCATAATGAATAAATAAATAATTTCTTAAAAAAAAAAAAAAGAACTGTGAAAACAGGGTCTGTTCTTCAATTATACATCCCCAGGTGTTGCTATAGCAACTCAGAAGCCAGACTAAGATGACACCATAGAAAACATACGAAGGACAGATTGAAAACTAACCCAAACGAGGGATGGTCCACCGGTATTTACTAATGATTCTTTCCCAGGAGAGAAGTCCTAACAGAAAACAGATGAGGTGAAAAGCAATTCAAAAAAGGTGAAGTGGAAATGAACAATAGACAAGAGATATTGAATCTGTTGTTAAACTTCTCTAACAGTCAACAGAGTTAAAAATAACACAAGTTTCAGTTGGTTAAAATGTGAGGCTTGACAGTCCCTACTGTAACCAAGTGTTCCTGAGAATTTGAGAAAGTGACAGTTTTGTGTGCTTGGGGAGTGCATAAATTGTCAAAACCTGCTTAGAAGACAACCCAGCAATGTATATTTCAAGCAAAAGGAACGCTTGTTGTTTTTTATCCCAGAGCTGTGTCCTCCCTTCCTCTCTGGCATCCCAGCCCACCCAGGCAGGGTCTCTTCTGTCTGGTCTGCTTGCAGTCCACCCCTGACCTTTCTACGTGCTTGACCTTTTCAGAAAGCATCAGAAAATGCCCTCTTACTGTATCCCTCAAAGGTTGCTTCATCTTTGTTTCCACCATGTGCATGCTGGGTCTTGACAGTCCCACTCTGCTCCCCACACAATCTGTCCTGCATACAGGCACCTCTGCGGACAGCAGGTTCTCGCTATGAGATATCCACCTTGTTTGATCTTATTTGTCCTTAGATTTTCCTTTACTTATCTCTGGCAGTCTTCCTTGTATTGTCCCCCAATGTATTAGGGTTCCCTAGAGTAAAAAAAATTAGAGAATATATATATATAATGTGTAGGTATACACACACACACGAGTTGTAATTTTAAAAATGACACCAGGAAGAGAAGTCATGCCATGCAACAAGGTTCACATAGGAGGTTTATTGGAAGAGGAAAGAGAAGAGGACAGAGGGATTCAGAGACCAGTCCCTGGGGACAAGAATGGCAGTCGAGAAACAGACAGGAGGTGGGTCAGGGGTGGACTGCAAGCAGACCAAACAGAAGGAAATGTGGCAAATGTGCATGGGAGGTGCTCTTAGTGACTGCAGCTGAGGACATATCCTGTCAGGATCCTAAGAGCAAGCCAGTACATATGCCCGAATACTAATACACACAGTACACACACAGAGGGGATTTATTAAAATAACTAACAGGTTGTGGTCTAGCTGGTCCAGCAATGGTTGTCTACCAATGGAAGGTCCAAAAATCCAGTAGTTGTTCCATCCACGAGGCTGAACTGTTAGGGTTACTGCTGCTGTGATGAAACGCCTTGACCAAAAATAATTCGGAGATGAGGTTTATTTTGCCCACAGTTCTGGATAACAGTCCATCATCAAAAAGCAGTGAGGGCAGGAACTCAAGCAGGGCAGGTGGCAGGAGCTGATGCAGAAGCCATGGAAGAGTGCTCCTTACTGGCTTGCTCCCTATGGCTTGCTCAGCCTGCTTTCTTTTAAACCCAAGGACCATTAGCCCAAGGATATCTCCACCCACAATGGGCTGGGCACCTCCCCTACTAATCACTAATTAAGAAAGTGCCTTACAGCTGGCTGTTATAGAGGTTTTTT